ACAAAGCTCCGATTCTCCTAGCAACAGAAAACATTCCGTTCCATTCCATTGCCCCCACTTTTTAAGGGGTTAGGATCCTCTGCAGTACTGTATGATGTTGTACAGTCACTGCCAGGTGAGACCTGGCCCCACATGTTATCCATACTACAGCACCATACGGTACTGCAGAGGATCTAAACCCCTTTTTTAGAGGCCAGTTTTTTTTCTTCTTCATGGTATTTTATAGGCCAGAATAGTCCTTCCTCTTTTCTTCTCTCAGCTCTCTGTGACGGTTTCGAAGGAAGCCCACGGGCCTTTTCGTCGCGAGACGCGAAAACGCCCATATGCTTTTTTTTAATGGGAAAATGCCCATATGCTTGATGGGCTCAGACGGACAGCACAGATGAAAGAAGGACGCATCGCTTTCGGCTCGAAACACCGCATTGATTGCCACGTCCAGAACGAAAAAATAACGACGAGGTGTTAGAGATATATTTGGGTTACATGTAGTTTAGGATTCCTACCTTATCTTTAGGAGAGGCGTCTTGCCCTCCAAGTCTTGTACTCAATATATACTCGCCCTCGAGGCTCAATAATACAACCATCATATTCCGCAACAATCCCTCTCTCTCCCTTCTAACATGGTATCAGCCTAATCACGATCCAAACCCTAACCACCACCGCTTTCGCACCCACGCGCCGTCCCCGGGGTGGTCGGCCTCCATGACCGCCGCCGGGGGCCGCGCCGCCCGTAGCTAGGGTTCGTCCGCCGGTCGTGTTGACCGGCTGCCCTAGAGAGTCTTTTTCCCGAGCGTTGCTCCGGGGTTTTCTCTCTCGCTGGTCGTTTTGATCAGCGTTTTCTTTTTAGTCTTCCGATCTACGATCGGTTTGAGTCGCCCGCCGCCGCCGTCGCCCCTCGCGCGCCTCTACTCCGATACCGGCATCGACTACATCGGCCTCTTCATCAACTGTGCGGCCGACGCGGCTAGCTCCGCCGTCTCCGCACGTGATTCTCCACCGACGGTCGTCGCCTTCATCGATCTGGAATCCGCCGTCAACCCCGTCTTCGACATACTCTGCATCACGCTCGTCCCGAGCACTGGCTGCTGATCTGCGCCGTGTGCTCCCACGCACGCATTGGATACAGGGGCCTAGGCCTTCACGTGGGTATTGCGTGGGTCTTCCCACGTCCCAGAAAGAGGCATGCATCCGTGTTGTTGGCCGGTCATGCCAGTGCTTGGGCTCCTGGCCCAGAC